TTAGAATCATTAATATTTTAGCAAAATTTGAAACAACGAAATTAAAAAAAAAAACAAGAAAAAAGAAGTTGAAGATCAATAAAAGCGAATTTTTTTTAAAAAGAAAATGTTTGTATGTGAATAATTTAATTTTTATATCTTTTATTTTATTTAATAATTGTATTACAGCAAAATTCAAAATATACGGGACACTTGAGAAATTTGATTGTCAGGCGGGTAGCCGGGTTACTCGGCAGTAGGTTATTTATTAGAAAAGTATAAATAAACCCGTGACATGAGTATAATCATAAAAAACCTGTTATGACTTATGAAATAAATTAGCCTTTTTTATACTATCTTATTTTAGCGATTTTTGAACACAATATCCATAATTTTTTTTATTTTTTTTCTTAATGATCTACAGCTAAATATCGAAATATTATAATTATTATTGTAGTACTATAAATTCATGAAAGAGTCATAAACTTGATTGTATTTTTTTTTTTTATAAAAAAAATTCCCTTTCTTTTTCTTCTTTTTTTCTTTGTTTACATATCATGCGTGCGGAGTTTTCTCACTGATGAAAGAATTTATTTCTTTTTTTAAGTGTCTCATGATTTATTTATTTATATTAATAATTAAAAATAAAAAATAATAAAGAATTTTATATTCCATTAATAATAAGAAGATGATAAGAATATTCCAAAATTAATTTTTTTTAAAAAAAATTATAATATTGTACTATGTTTTACGAATGTAATATCAAACTTTTATTTGGCGATGACTTTCCTATTAAGGATAAAGACAATTCATATTGAAAGATTGCCAATTTCGTAACGTTACAAAAACTTGAAATTTTCGCCGATCTATCATTGAATATAAAAGAATACTCCAATACGTCCAACTTACTCGTTCAACTTTAAACCAGAAAATAAATAAATAAAAACATGCCAACTAACACCTTAAAAGATTCAAATCATTATATCGATTGGTTAGAGAGGTCAATTGCCGATGAACCGGTATTATTTAAATAGTTACGGTATCATCGATTGACACTGTTACGGTATGATCATTTTTTTACCGGTATGAAGATCCATTTGTGCATCATACTGTACTTACACCTTTGGTTGTATAATATTAATACATCCAAAGTTACAGGTACGGTACAAACTGCCATACAAATATCGTACCTGTATTGTAAATATTGTAAACCGCAGTAATACAATAAATCTTGCCAAAAAATAAACATGTTGAAAAGTCTAAAAGGAAAAATGAAATTAAAATCTATGTAAAAATTAATAAAAAAGATTTCGATTTGTATAAACAATTGCTAATTTATGTATTAATTATTTTTATTTACATTTATTTTACAATATATTGTTACATTAATTATTTTGATTTTAATAATTATTATTCTTCAACTGTAGCATATTGAAATTTGAAATATTTTTTTTTAAAAAAGCTCTACATATTATATTATACATATTAAATCTTATACAAATTTTTGGCAAATTAATAATATTTTTAGCAAAGTAATAATAGCATATTTCATTAATTATTATTTAATTCCATTTCCAACTTTTTAATCTGCAACTCTTTTAATTTTAGATCAATTTCATTCTGTTTGAGTTGCATTTTCCTCTCTTCTAATGCGATCTTGCGCTCTTCAATTTCCATTTCAGTGTCGTCATCATCATAATCAATCTTTGCCTTTTTTGAAGCGCGTTGCTTTCCTTTACTGGTTGTTCTTTTGGATAGTTTTTTAACTATTTTTTTTATAACATTAAAACATGATAATACCCATCATAAATAGCAATCAAATCATAAAGTTTATTACTTTACCTGATCTTTTATTAGCTTGCATTTTTTTACCAAAGTCACTTTTATCTTTACTAGACATAGGAATGCCTGTTTGTTGATGTATTTTTATTCTTTTATAGATGCACTCATCATGTTTCCATCCCCTAAATATAAAAAATAAAATAGGTATCAAATTATTTATTATATAATTATGCAGATAGTAAAAAATTACCTTAGAATTGCAATTTTTAATTTCAATGATTTGCCTGTTCGATTAATCATTGCATGAGCACTTTCAGCAATATTAGTATCAAATGGTGTTGTCTGCCAATCTTCATATGACATTAAGGAATAATGATATGTTAATGAACCCAGAACCCATGGTTTCTGATAATATTCTAGCCAATCTAAAAAAAATAAATTGACATAAATTAATATAATTAATACGATTGATAATCTAATAAAGCAAAACATTATATACTTACTTTGTATACCATCTTCATTATGCATTTTAATTTGTCCAAATATTTGATTAATTTCTTCAGAAGAATTTGCTTTAAGAATTTCAAGCATATCATGTTTTGTATCTGCACAATAAGGGTAATGGTCAACATTTCTATAAAATTATAAAATTATTAGCAAAAGTTTTATTATTAATTTAAAAAATATAAAAATCTTACCTTTTATAATGGATACGATATGATTTAAATACATATTGTAAATGTTCTTTAGCTTTTCGTGTAGGATCCATTTTTTTCATAGCCTTTCCTAATCCAAGGGCTTGGGCTTGATCTAAATCAGCTAAAACACAAACCCAACCATCACTATGTATATGCCGAAAATGGGCAGGCTTATTAGATAATTTTTCAACTATTTCAAAAAAGTCTTCAAACATTCTTTGATATGCCTCTTTAGTTGCAATATTAGTAAAAATTCTACAAAATGTTATAACTATAAAGAATGCATTTAAATTAATTAAGAATTATTAATAAATCAAATTGAAAAATTAAAATTGTTAACTTACTAGTCCTAGATTTTTCTTCATATGCATTAAACTCTAATTCATTAATGTCACCATAAACATGTTTAAATGAAAGATCAACTTCGAAATATTTAAATTCAATGCATTTTGCTGCTTGTTCATTAGTCATACATAAAATCATTATATGACCATCATTAAAAAAACCTAAAAATATATATTAAATTATTTTATATTATGTGTAAAGTAAATAATAAATATATTAATAACATTTTTACTTACTAATTTTTTGGATATAATTCTTTATTTCTTTAGTATTTTGATAAAAATCATATACCACTCCAAGAATCCCTTGACCATGTGGATGTTGCTGATTATGAACACGTGCAATTAAATATCGAAGCTTGTCAATATTATTGAGAGAAGCATGGATTTCAGCTACCATTTCTGTTCCAAATACACTTTTAAGCAAATGACCTTATTAAAAAAAAAAGTTAATAATAAGAAAATTTATAATGATATAGCATAATAAAATAAGTTAAACTAACCTGACACTAACTGCTGTGCAGTTATATTTATAAGTTGTTCTTTAGAATTTTCAATTAGTTTCCTCAACTCTGATTTAATACAAGTAGTAGTCTTAGATAAAGGTGGTGGTGGATGTGTATGAATTCCTTTAGATATCAAGATTACAAAAGTAAATCTTTGCAAATTTAAAGGTGTAAGCATCTTGAATTCAACTGAACAAGGAAGTCTTTTTAATTCAAGTTTTTGAGTTAAGCCCTGAAAAAGATGGACTGATTTTAATAAAAAAGTCATTAATTTTTTAATAAATACAATTATATTAAAAAAAAAGTGGAATTTATTTACCACAATATTTCTTATGACAACCTGTAGGGTACAACATATTGCAATTTGTATCATCCTATATAAATTAAATAAATAAAAAACAGTTCATAAATTAGTAAAGTTATAAATTATTATATATTAATAAAAAAGTAATGAAGATGCATACTTCCTGATCTAAAATTTTTCCCTGATTTGCAAAAAGTGACTTTAAAAGATTAATATCTACACCAGCCTTAATTTGCAAAGACATATGACCTTTTTCATTTGGTTTCCATTTATCACATCCTATGAATTCACTCCATTGATTTGTAGTATAAACTAAATAGTAGTGTTTAATTTTAGCTTTACCACCACAAGTAAAATTATTATTTGGATAAGGACATCGGGTTTTTATTGCTGTTAAGTATTCCCTAAAAGAAAGTAAAGATTATTAAAAAATGCATTATAAAATTATAATTTGAGACTATTATAACTTACGTTTGAGTAAGTACTCTTGTAATCCTATTTTCTGGAGTATTATTATAACCATCTTCACAGATAAATGGATTGGTTTCAAGATCTACCTTAGTATGTGATGCTTCCAAGATATTTGGACCAGCTAATTGACAAGTTTTAATGCCTCCTCAATGTTTTATTGCCTTTTTAACCTGGACCCATTTTTTATTTTCTGGATCATCCATATCTTTACCAAAAAATGGACATCCAACGTTAGGAGAACCACCGCTGCCATCACAGAGTGAGTATTGGATCTATTTTTTTAAAAAAAAGTGTTAATTTTTGGTAAAACATCTTTATATCAAAAATTACTTACATCACGAAATGCTGCCTTAGGATCCTCCCAGTTTTCAATGTGATAAATATACGCAACTCCTTCTTCTGATGTTTCTGGATATTCAATTGGTACTAGAGAGTGTCTTACATCATTGATTTTAGTATCCCTTGTAAATACTGCTATTTCAGATTCTGTATCATCTTCTGCATTTAAGTTGGTTTCGGCTGTCTAAATAAAAATGTATTTATTATTTACATCTATTACAATTTTTTTATATAATAATAATTTAATATTAATTAAACTTACAAATGGATCAAAGTTCAATGGCTCATCAAATTCATCTAAATTTATATATTCATATGGTGTAGACATTTTATTAAAAATTAAGAAAAAATGATAAAAAATAATAAGGTTAATAAGTTGAGAAAAAATTAAGGACGAAGGAAGAAGAAAAAGTTTAAATCAGCAAAATCATTATCGAGATTTAATAAATCTGATCATTTTTGGTACTAAATCTGCAGAAATGTTTCACAAATCAAATAAGAGCTAAGAGTACAGGTATTATTTGATAAATATGATTAACAATACCTAGAGGTTTGAAATTTTCCATTGTATATCAGTATGATCAGTATGATTAGCATAATTTTGTATCGTACCTATATCTTATCAATCGTACCTTACCTATCATATAATATAGTACCGTAACTAAATACTATATACTCCCGATGAACATATCAAATATTATAAATATTCAGACTTTAAAAATATTCGACCAATAGGAATTGGTTCTTATGGAGAAGTCAATCGTGCTAATTGGAAAAATACTGAACACTTTTACGCTTTGAAGTCTTTTAGTAATGATAAACAGACTCTTGAAGAAATCATAAAAGAGGTATTTATTTAAATATATATGAATTAATTAAATTAATGGTAATTTATAATACTTTATATAATACGTCGCAGTTAAAGTTACACAGAAGTGTAGATGATCATGGAAATATCATAAGATTGTATGGAATCACAAAAATAGAAACCGGCAAGTATTAAGAGAATTTAAATTAAATTTAATAAATTTATTTACACTTTTCTGGTTTCTTATTATTTAAAATATTTATTATTTAGCAGTTCCAACTCAACAGATAAAAAATTATTCATTAGTCTTGGAATATGCCAATGGCGGTACACTAAATACTTATTTAGGCAAAAACTTTAATGATCTGGATTGGGACGATAAATCTCGTTTAGCATTACAACTGGCAGATGCTGTAGGGTTTTTACATGATAATGATATTGTTCATCATGATCTGGTAAGTGGTAATATTTGAAAATAATTATTACCTCTAATTGATACGTGTTAAATGATTAATGAGAATTTTTTTTTGTACAATTAGTACTCTGGAAATATACTTATACATCAGAACAGTATTAAATTAACAGACTTTGGGTTATCAAAAAAAGTTACTGAAGCATCAAGTATCACATCGAAAATACAGGGTGTAATACCCTACGTGGAGCCGAAGAAACTCAATGATGAAAATTATAAATTAAATAAAAAGTCAGATGTGTATAGCATTGGAGTTTTATTGTGGCAAATTTCAAGTGGACATGAAGCATTTGAAGATATTGAACAAGACGTTAGTTTTATTTTATCTTTAATAAAAGGTAAAAGGGAAAAAATTATTGATGGAACTCCTGTTAAATATAGTAAATTATACACAGGTAATAAATTAAATAAAATGATTAACATGTTTATATTATAAGCATCATTGATATTAATTTCTTTACTGATTGGTTAGAATGTTGGAAATATGAATCAAATGAACGTCCAAATATGCACGAAGTTATTTTGACGCTCAAAAAAATCATTTCTCCTGAAATTATTGTTGATAGTCTCAATGAACTAAATGAAGACAATAAAAGTACTTATTCATCGGAAAAATACGGATCAATTTCAAAAACAAGCAAAGAGACTGTAGATATAAATGATGATCTGGATATTAACAACAGTTTAATATTGAGTACTATTTCACATATTGCATCGTTAGAAAATAGTAATATATATGAAAGTAAGTTAAGTTCGCAAAATTGTATGGATGTGGTGGAATTTGAAAATACTAGTTCATCTAACAAGTCAGACACGTTAGACCAAATATCAGTAGATATGAATGAGTCAATATCTGTTGCAATGGCTAATAATTTAATTGAATATATAATTACAAAACACGATAGTGGAATTACCTTAGACGATCAAATTCAACTACTAATTATTAAGAAAATATTACAATCTGATCAAAATTTTAATTATCTATCAGATACTTTGGATCAACAACTACTTATTAAAAGAATATGGCAACCGAATCAAAATTTTAATAATCTTATAGATTGGTTATCAAGTAATAAAGACGTATTAATTTATGGATGGCTACTTGGATTATTTTATTATTATAATATCGGTGTTGATGAAAAAGAAGATTATAGCATTAAATCATTTGAACTGTTTTCAAAAGCAGCGAATAATAATTATTCGATTGCACAAGTTTATCTCGCTAAATGTTATTACGATGGATATGGAACAACCTTAGATCATCTTTTGGCCCATAAATACTATCAAGAATCAGCAAAAAATGGAAGTATTATTGGGCAATTTTATTTAGGAAATTTTTATGAATCTGTAAATAATGAAAAAGAATCGGTTTATTGGTATAAAAAAGCTACTAAAAGTGGTAATACAATTGCAAAACTTCATCTTGCGAATTGCTATAGATTAGGAAAAGGAACTGAAAAAGATGAAATCAAAGCATTTCAATATTATGAAACCTTACCCTGTAAAAAATACATTCCAGAATATTTCCGTTATATATCCATAATTATGCTCGTAAATCCGTAAATGTTCAGTGTGCCGCAACTGTTGAGAAAATAATCCGTGATTTTATTTGTAGAAATGGATTTTAAACGGATCCAAAATTTCATTATTAAATAACTAAAAATTTATCAAGCAATTTTTTACATAATTAACGAAAAATGGAATTTAATCGGATTTAAGATTACATATTATTAAATAACTGTCAACCTACTTATTACAAATATATATTGAAAATATGTAAATTACAAACATATATATTATTACAAACACAATAAAATACGCAAATTTCATAAAAAATTATCGAAATTTAATCTGATTTTCTCGGTCAATAATGTAAAACTCATTGTTTGACATCTTAAGAAATCCGACATTTCTACAAATTGCACTTACATTAATTACTTCAAAAGCACCATGATCTCGAAACTTTAATGGCCCATGTCCAGAAGGATGAGGATTTCGTACCCATTGCACATATGCTAGCATAGACCAGTCACTGTTGTATTGATGCGAAAAAAAATATTGTACTTCTCCAAAGAATTCACGCTCTTCCAAAATAACAGGTGCATTTGGGCGATGTGCATTTCGGTCAACTAGAAGCTTCGCCTAAATAAAGAAAATTAGTAATATTAAAATATTAAAAGTATTAAAAATGATGATATATATACACATACAGCAATGCAGTAATTTGTGCGTGCCACATCACCCTTGCGATTTGACAATTTTGAATTAATTGTTAAATCATTTTTGGTTTGAAGTTTTCCATATTTTTGAATGGAATTTGTAATTAACTTAAATGAAATATATTAGAAGATTAAAGGTTCTTTTAGAATAAAATTTAAACAGTAGGAAATGTGCTTACTGAAAGTTGATTTGCATTTCTGTTTAATGCTGTCACATAATAGGCTCTTAAGCGCTGGATCTCAGTTCTATTCATGCAATATTTGCGTGATAGTGAATATAGCACTTCTTCAGCACCGTCAGTAGTAAAATAATTGTTTTCTGAGTAATTTAATGTTTTTTTTGAATTTTTACTAATGAGCCTTTGATATATATTAGGTTTATATTGAAGATGTGAAAACTGGGTCCACATTGTAATTTGATTTTGGAGGTTTGTATAAGGATGTTGTGTAGAACGAACCAAAGGCAATAGCATTCCACATAGCCTTTCCATGGGATACTGCCAGGTTGCCCATGCAGGCCCAGTATTATATATTGAATCAGCAATATGTAATAGATAATGGTAGGAAATGAGCGCTGCTGGAAGTTGTGCAGAATTATTCTGAATATATTCTCTATTAAATGTTAAATATATAATTTAATGTCAAAGTTACGGATAAATGGATATGAAAGCATACAGTACTTTTCATAATACGTGATAAATTCACAAAATAACCTTCTAATTTCTGTTAATTCTTCCATACTGATAATATGTTTAAGGCAAAGCTTTGTTGCATGTACGAATTTTGCCCATCCATTTAAATGCCTAAATAAATTTAGCAAAATCTATCTATTAAATAACATCAAAAAATAATGTGCTTTTATCACTTACAAATTAAAACATTACCTTTCTGGAAGATAGCTTTGTAAAAGTGGAAGTGAATATAATACCACCCAATTCATCCAGTCTTCTGCCTTAAATCCAGCTGAATGTTGCTGAATATTAATAGGTGGACGACCAAAATCAAATGGCATATTTTTTCGATTTTTTTCCATTGTTTTTCCTATTTCTGTCCAATCTTTATTAGGAATGATATAATTAGAATCAAAGTCTTGATCATCTTTGAAAAAAATGCCAGACCAATGCCGAAGCATTGCTGGTGCAACATTTTCAAACAACCCATGCATAATATCAACAGGAAAAGATACAGGAAATCTAATTGAGTTTAATTCAAATAAGATGCTGCGGCCATTTACCCCTGTAAATATAAACAAGTAAGAATTGTTTATATGAATTTGCTAAATGTATTTAAAATAAATGTACCTCGATCTTGTATTTCACGTTTACGTGATGATCCAGATGCATTTTTTACAACAGTAACATCACGTATATAATCTTCATGTGTTCTCAGCGGAAGGTTTTCAGAATTATACTGACATCCTGACATATTCATTGGAGGTTTAAGTGGAAAATATACATGTCGATTTCCTTGACAATATATTCCACGAATAGAGCAAAATCGGCATGCTTTATATGAATTATGTCCTGTTGTATACATTACTTTGGAAAGTGCTGGGATATCACCAGAAATACTTAAAATGTGTGCATGGAGTGTAAAGGTATTTTCTGTTAAACCATCAATACATTGAATACCTTCTGTATTGTTATTATGAAATAAAAATTAATATATTATATTAAATACATTATAATAAAAATAAGTATGCAAAACCTTGCAACTGCTTTAATTCATCGATTAGTGGCTGTAGAAAAGAGTTAAAGTTTTTTGGTGCTTTTGGTCCTGGAATAAGTGCAGAAACCATTAAATTTTCTCGCTTAACACGTATATTAGGTGGTAAGTTTGCATTTATAAAGAGTATAACCCAACAATCATCTCTTTTTTGACGAAAAATTTGATATCCATCAATTGATGCCATTAGAGCTATATCCTGACAGTCTGAAAAGAAACCAGATGTGGCTAAAGTTTTGTATTGAAGGCCATCAAATACATCACCTATCTGATTACCAAGAGTATATTCATAAGTAGAAGTATAATTATATCTGTAACGAAGAATTTCTGCACGAGTTTTATCTTTATATTGGGTCTGAAATGAATCAATAAGTGACCAATAAGCAGCTTTTTTTCGAGATATTTGAGATTCTTCATCAACTTTATAACGTGGCTCTTTACATTCTGGACAAATATTTTTGTTAATAAGCTCGCCTGTGAATGCCACACATGAATTTATACAACAATCTACAAGAGTTGGTTTTAATGACATAAAATTTCCAAGAAACTTTCGAAGTTTGTAAAGTGTAATTCCAGGAATTTCAAAAACTTTAAGAATTTCGTTAAATGCAGCTTCTGAAATATTGTGTTTATCTTTAATTTGAAGAAGCTGTAAACCTTTAATTAAGTTTTCTGAATAATTATTAGAATTTATGCAAAATTTAAAATAAATTCATAATGTTTATTTACTGTAGCCTACCAAAATCTTCACATTCAATATTTTCATTTCCTTCCCTATTATTATTATATTCTTCATCTTCATCTTCATTTTCGCCATTATTGTATTCATCAGTTTCACTATCATAAATGTGTTCTTCTTCAATATTATTATCATTCTCTTCTTCACTATCCACTATTTCAATCTGCTGATCATTTATATTATTCTCTTCATTGCTATAATCTTGATCTTCTAGAATATTATTATTAGGTGATAATGTCATTGGAATAGTTTGAGAAATAGAAGTAGCTAGGCATCGCTGTGATGCAGGTATATTTTCTGAGTTGATCCAAGTTTTTTTCTGTTTTGTCACATGTTTTGCACGAGTTGACTTACTAACTAATTTACCTAACCCACTTGTTTCTTGAAGACACCAAATACAAGTGCATAAAACAGCCATATTAAAAATGTATAAATTTTGACAAGATTTACTAGACTGTATAATATAATACTCAAATTTTTCATATTATTACCTTAGATCATATTTAAGCTTTTATATACTTTATTTGTGTCGATCAAATTTCAGAAACTTTATTAATTAAAACGCGTAAACGCGTAAATAAATTAAACTCGTATAAATCCACTATTTAAACTTTATAAATAAGCTCTTCAACTCTTTTTTCTTTAATTTTTTTCTATTTAATATTTCACGAAATTCTTTAAATTTACCATGTCCCAAAATAATATACAAATTGATAAACTTACTTGTGAGCAGCGTCAACAGTTCTTTCTTGCTCTATTTAATAATGAACCATCTCTCCTTAATGTACTAAATACTGAGCAACGACAGAAATTATATACAGCACTGATGACAATTGACCCCTCACTTAAATCTCTAAATGCACATAGCACTATATATGGGACTACAAATGAACAAGCATGTTTTAAATTATTTTTACAAATATTTCGTAATTGTTGTAATTGTTGTGTAGTAGTAATACATGTATTTGTTTCAGTTTCCAAAAGGATCAGCAATGAATCCAATCAAGATTCAGGAATTTAAACAAATTAAAAATGATTTTCAATGGCACGAACTTTTGAAGTTAGATAAAGATCAATATTTAAATTTTCGAGTAAATACAGTATATTATTACTTGTTTATTAGTAATGCACCAGTTGTCTGATTCAAATTAATTTATTACAGAATGATCTTCGAAATAGAGCAGCTTCCAGGCTTTCACGTTGTGAATCAGTATCTCGTCAGCAAAAAGGAAAAGTAGAAGAAGTTATTAGGGATGTAAGTATTTAATAATTAAATTTATATTTGCAGAAAGTAAATAAACTAAAAATTCATTATTATTGTAGTTTAAAGAAGCAAACCCAACATTTCCAGTCTCTGAGGCTGATTTTATCCTTCGAGAATGGCTTGCTTTATATTGTAATAGCATGGGTAAGTGTAAATTTGCCAAATTAAGTATAAACTTTATTTTTTTTTTAAAAAAAAAAAAATTTATTTTACAGTTGACCAGGCGAAAAAAAAGAAAATTGCCGAAGCAAAGAAGCATGGTCTTCCACCACCACCACCAAAAAGAAAAAATGTCCAACCTCCTAAAAAGCATAATAGTATGGATAATAATAGAACAACAACAACTGAAAGCTCACAAGATTCTGAGAGTACTTCAATTAATTTATATAGTGTCTCACAGTTTTAGATCGATCGACAAGTACAATAATATTATTTTCAAAATAGGAGTTACTCCACCATCTTCTACTTCGTCTACTGATGCACTACTTGCAATAACTCCACAAGTTAACGCTCCTACTGCAACTGAAACAATGGTTTTCACTTTCTCTACCAATGAATCAAATGCTCCAGTTGTAACTAATATATCATCTACCTCCGAAGTCAATATTCCAGCTACAACTGAATTTGCTGTAGAAACTCCTGGTATTTTGGCAAGACATTTTATTTTCTCAACAAATTTATTGTACTCATGCATTATTCAATTTGCAGGTAAAAAAGGTAGAGGTAAAAGAAAAAAAGAAGTTTCCCAACAGAAACAAACATCAACTAGACAAACACGATCCAGCAAGAAATCTAAACAGTAGAACAGTAGAGTTGGAGTTATACAATATAACCATTGTTTGGTTAATAAATTAATAAGTAATTGGTATACTAAAGTATTAGTGTTTTAACCGAATTTTATCCATTTCATTATAATAGGTTTTCGGCGCTTTATCTGGATTTTATCCATCTGAAAAATTTTCAGTGCTTTATCCGAATTTTATCCATTAATTATTGTAATAAAATTTCAGCATTTTATCCGAATTTTATCCATTTTATTATTAAGCAAATTTATTTTTTTTTTATCCGTTTTATTTTAATAAATTTTCAGTATTTTATCCATTTTACTAATTTAAATAATTCAGTAAAGTTTTAGTAATTTATCCGAAACTTATCCATTTATTAATCGATGAATTTTCAATTATTTATCAGTTTATCATCAGTTTATTATCAGTTTTATTAATTAAACGATTTTATTTTTTTAACAGTAAAGTTTCCATATTAATTCCGTGAATATGAGACCTTTATGGAAAAAAAATGGAAACTCTTGTTTATTAATGTAAACGGAATAAAAACGGAATTAAAAACGGAGTAATTTTTTTTACAGGGTTAGCTAACAAAGAAATTGTAGATGCTCAACTTAAACTTGGTGATTGTTTTTATAATGGAATTGGAACCAAATTGGATATAACACAGGCAAAATATTGGTATGAAAAAGCAGCAAATAATGGAAGTATTATAGCAAAAAATAATCTTAAAGATTATTACAATGAAAAAATAAGATTTGAAATAGACAAACATAAGAAAATTAAGTTTTACTATAAAATGATATTCTCAATAAAAAGATTAACCCAATTTGGATTGTACCATATTAATAAAATATTTTTAAAGACAAATTATGATAAATCGGTTTATTATTTGCAGAAAGCAGCAGAAAATGGATGTAAGTTTGCACAATTTAATTTAGGTGGATGTTATCAATTAGGGCATGGTGTAAGAAAAGATATAAGAAAAGCATTTGAATTATATAAGAAATCAGCTAAACAAGAATACATAAATGCACAATCTCAACTTATTTATTGTTATGAATATGGATTAGGAACTGAAATAAATAGAGTAAAAGCATTGGAATTAGTTAAAATAATGGCTGAGAAGGGATTTAAACATGCACAATATTTATTAGGTTTACATTACATAACCGGAGAAGGGGTTGATAAAGATGAAATAAAGGCATTTAAATTATTTGAAAAACTTGCTAAAGAAAGTAAAAAATGTCAGTCTAATAATAATAAGATTAATGAGCAAAAAGATTTTGAGTATTTTAAAATCTTAATGAAGTATGTGAATTCAAACTCATTATACCAACTTGGATATTGTTATGATAAAGGAGTTGGTACAGAACTTAATTTAACAAAAGCATTTGAATTATATAAAACAGCAGCTGAGAAAGGGCATAATGTTGCACAAAATGTATTGGGATATTCTTACGAGAATGGTATAAGAATAGAAAAAGATTTAAAACAAGCTATTTATTGGTATAGCAAGGCAGCAGGCAATGGATATGACAAAGCACAATATAATTTAGGCAGATGTTATAAAAATGGAAATGGTGTTGAAAAAGATGAAAAAAAGGCATTTGAGTATTATATGAAATCAGCTGAACAAGGTTATTTAAATGCTCAATTTCAACTTGGATATTGTTACGATATAGGAGTTGGAACAGAAATTAATATAACAAAAGCATTTGAATTATACAAAATAGCAGCTGAAAAAGGTTATAGCATGGCACAAAATAATTTAGGAAACTTATATGAGCATGGTAAAGGTACAAAAAAGGATTTGAAACAAGCTGTTTATTGGTATAACAAGGCAGCAGAAAATGGAAATGAAATAGCACAATATAATTTAGATAGATACTATCAAAACCCTATAAAAACGTTTTGTTTATAAATTATACATAAAATAGTTACATAATGTTCAATGTGTTTATTATTCGCTCATAAATTAGCCATATTTTTAAAATTGCATTTTTTAAAATACTTAAAATGTCCGATAAATGTTTTGATACGTGTATAAATAATGGAGAGTTTTTACAAATATACAAAATATATCCAATAAATGTACATTTAAACAAATCATAAAATTGTAATTTGCAATTTATACAATATTTGTACAGCATTTATATAAACTTAAACGTACAAAATATGTGCAGAATAGTGTTATTAAACCAAGTAGCCAAACTATTATTATAACGATCAATGAATTACTTCTCATAAGTTAGGTTCACTTATGAGGTTCTGATTATAATAATCATGTTTCATTCGCAGAATCTAACCAGTGATCAGCCTAATAACACTTTCTTTACTCCCACCAATCTTTTCACAATTTTTTGATATTGTTTAATTAATATATTTTATAATATAATAATTATGTAGGATTAATAATTGTCTAAAATTTCTCCAAACTCTTTATCTACTATATAATATATTCCATTAAGATTAAAAAATCCTACACAATGATCAATTGCAAAGGCATCAATAAATTCATGTGCACCATACTTTGAGAATGACAAAAGTCCTACATTATCTTCTCTAATATTCCACCCCATTCAACCGATCAACAAAGGTTCTAACCTTACATTTCATGTCTCAAGTGTCTAGGTTATATCCTTCGTGGTCCACCTATGGTTTTAACCCATGTCCGTGATATACTTTGACTTGTCATGCTGTGTCATAAAAACAAATCATGCTAATTAATTTAATCCAATAATATATTATTATACTCACTTATAGTTATATACGGACATTTATGTCTGTGATATTTGTTAATAATGCTCCTTGTCAGATATGGCTGTGATATTTGTTGTCAATTGCTCATGATGATACCCCTTGTCAGGTACGGACATTTATGTCCGTGATATTTGTTGATGATGCTCCTTGTCATATACGACCATGATATTTGTTGTCAATTGCTCATGATGTTACTACTTGTCAGGTATGGACATTTATGTCTGTGATATTTATAATAACCTTTGTCAAGCACAGACATTTATGTCCGTGATAACCTTTGTCAAGCACAGACATTATGTCCATGATATTTGTGATAACCTTTGTCAAGCACAGACATTTATGTCCATGATATTTGTGATAACCTTTATCAAGCACAGACATTTATATATGTCTGTGATATTTGTGATAACCTTTGTCAAGACAGTCCATGATTTTTGTTATACTTATGATAATCTTTGTCAAACACAGACATTTATGTTCATAATATTTATTATACTTATCTTTCGTCTTATGATAACCTTTATCAAGCACAGACAGCGCGGAAAATCCATTATAATTTAACCAGTTTTTCCGGTAAATTTCTGATAAAACTGGTAAAATCTTATAATCCCGGAATTGTTCCGGTCGTGGCGTAGCAGATTTCCGGAATATTTTGTAAATACCGGAAATTTCATTTAATAAATTTATATCGCAAAAAAGTTTTTATCTTTAATTTTATTATTTATTATTTCAGTAGTTTATTACAATATGATTATTTAAAGCCAGTATATCTTTTCTGGTTACTCCATAGCATAGCGAACATGCTTTATATCACTTTGATGATCATTTGCCGATCACAAGTTTCATTTTATTAAAAAATGATTAAATTATGAAAAAGTGCAAGGCAAAGTAAATGCCTAAATAAGAAAAAAATAAAACATGCCACCTTTTATTGTTGTATAACTTTAAATTAAATAATTTATATAATTTTTAATTTTTATATGCAAAATTATTAATATGTGATAATTTGAAGTTTCGGGATAAAAATTGAAGGCCGAAGCCGAATACGCAAAGCCGAAACTTGAAATTTTGCATGAACATTCCTTTTATTATATATAATCTGTAAAAAAAATAATGCAAGGTTTCGACCTATAATGCAGGTTTTTTGCTTATAGAGAAATTAGCCAATTATTTGTTATTAATATATTTCTAATAAAAAAGATTATTTACATCATTAAAGATAATGAAAAACTTTTAGTTGAAGATGAAGATGATAATAGTTTAAGTGAAGATAATAATGATGAGAATATTGAAAATAATTTAGAAATAATAGAAAGTAATATAGATAATCTGTTTGAAATATTATACTAAACATGGTTAAATTATTAGTACTATAATATAATTATTAGTATTTGTATTAATTTTTATGTTTTATATAAATTTTTAATTAAAATTAAAATTTTGTGAAGTTATTTGTAAATTTTAAACATTTATTATATTTATTATTGTGTAAAATTGATCTGTCACGACATTTGTATTATGTGATAAGATCAAATAAATGATCAGCAAATGATCGGCAAATTAGTGATAAAATAGAGATGTTTGCTATGCTTTACTCCATATTGTATATGCACGAATAAAAAAAAAGAAAAGATTATTATATATTGTGTAATACCATCTAAAACTGGAATTTTTTTTTAATTCCATAATTCCATACCGGTTGAAAAAATAAATTTCCAGAATTTTTATATTTAACCGGAATTTTTCTGAAATTTTTCCAAGGTTTTTTTCCGCGCTGAGCACAGACATTTATGTCCATGATTTTTGTTATACTTATAATAATCTTTGTAAAGCACAGACATTTATGTCTGTAATATTTATTATGCTTATCCTTTGTCTTATGATAGATAACCTTTGTCAAGTATAAACATTATTTATGTCCATGATTTTTGATTTTTTGCACCCATCCATCCAGTATTTTAATTATAAATAAGACAATTTTATAATTTTTGACTGCATATTCATTTACCAACTTCATTAATAAATATTTTATATCACCTTATAACTATAAAAAAGGCAATTTTTTTTCAAGTTTTACACATTAATTTGGCCAGGTTTAAAATAATTTTGCACAGCAAAATTTGTCAGAATTATTTGGCCAGAATTATAATATAGATATAAATGTCCAGTTTGCAAATTTGGCCAGAATTATAAAATGGACATAAATGTCTGGTTCTGTCTCTTATACACATCTAGATGTGTATAAGAGACAGCTCCACAAGTTAACGCTCCTACTGCAACTGAAACAATGGTTTTCACTTTCTCTACCAATGAATCAAATGCTCCAGTTGTAACTAATATATCATCTACCTCCGAAGTCAATATTCCAGCTACAACTGAATTTGCTGTAGAAACTCCTGGTATTTTGGCAAGACATTTTATTTTCTCAACAAATTTATTGTACTCATGCATTATTCAATTTGCAGGTAAAAAAGGTAGAGGTAAAAGAAAAAAAGAAGTTTCCCAACAGAAACAAACATCAACTAGACAAACACGATCCAGCAAGAAATCTAAACAGTAGA